ATTTGGGCGTAATCATTTTTCCTCTCTCCTTCGTTCATCTTCTTCATTTCGCTGAAATCATTCTTCCTTTCTCCTGCGTTCATCTTCTTCTTTTCTGCGTTTTTCATTTTCCGCTAGGCTCGCTTGCAAAGCCTCGAACATTTTCTTAAGTTCGTCGTAATCGACACTCATTGTTTCAAAACCATATAACAAAAAATTTTCAGTCAATTATTCCACTTCCGACACCAAATGTTACGTTTCACCCCGTGGGTTTACCAATAATTGACTAAACTGACTTTGTTTCACTTCAAATACAACAAAAGACTTCAGCTAAAACTTATACTATTATTCGAATGGCTATCGCCTTACTAGATCGCTCCGCGTACTGCACTGTCATCTCCACTTTACTGTTTCGTTAGGCTAGTGGATCGTGTTAATATTTGGCAGTCGAAGGCCGTAAAAAATTCCTCGGAATTTCATCGAAGCCGGTACGAGGACTAGAATAATCGAGGCTGCACGGGGCGTTGACCACGTCACGTCACGTCAGAGAGGGTTATATTTTTAGGAGTGAAGATTTACAAATTTTTTTTTGTGTCAAGAAGGAGTAGTAGGAAGCCAAAAACTTTCTTTCCCAAATATATTACTTCATATTAGCCTCATATATGTACGCATATTCACAGACAAGTAGTACTGCTTCCGTGGTATTACTTTATTCACAATCTGTACCCTTATATTACTGTGAATAAATTATTATATTATTTTTAATAGTCAAGTCAAATGACATTTCGTACTAGAAAATGCTTCTTTACAGCGACTTCCCGAGATAAATGACCTCCAAAATTCCTCTCAGACATCGACAAAACGATAAAATCTCCTCTCAAAGAAATGCTGGCGTTACATTTAGAAATTCCCAACAGTATGCTCTACTCTTCTTCAAAAGCGAAAGAACTAGGTCTCTCTAGATCATCATGGAAAGCTTAGATCACAACAGAATGTGCTACCAGACGAAATAAGATACTTCGATGATAAAGCTAACACAGAAGAAACTATATATAGTTATCGACAATGACAAATGGACCCATTTTTAGCGAAAGTTGAGAGATGTTTGGAACTTTACGATCAGTGACATTCCAGCACTTGGATAAAGACTCAAGAGAGCTTGACAACATCTGAGTGGAAAGAAGTGGAAGAAGAGGAATACCATGTAGATCTCAAGACGTTTCTGGACCTGACATGGCCTTGGATGCACCTTCACCGGGTAGGGTAACCTTATTGTGGGAACCTAGCTCATTGATTGTGCTAAGACAGCACCCTACAAGTCGCCACGAAATGACTTAGTAGAATCTGAGTGCTTCAATTGCCACCGGAAAAAATGGCAATGGTTTTGTTTCCAACCTTTTCCCTGCGCAATCCTCGTACGTATTGTTCGATAGCTTCTGCCTGAAACACTGTTGCGTTCTGTCTGTGTGATTCTGTCTGTGTGATTCTCGTCTTCGCTCTGCCTTCATATATGCTGGCTACTACTCTTCTTGGGTTTTTGAGTTGTCCTTATACCAAGTTGGCTCCGTTAAAACCTCTCTCCTCTTTGTTTGGTGTGATAGTTTTGGAGCTTTCATAGAAATTGTGCTGCGAGACTGTATTGTCCATTGGCATTTCCAGTATTGAATCTGTTTTCAATTCATTGCACAGTTTCTGATCGGATTTGGTTCCTTCATCAGCCTGGGTATCATTATTCGCGCTACTCTTTGAATGTAGATAAAAGGTGTGGAAGGCTCAGCAGAACCTCGAGAGCTGCAGTTGGGGTCATTCTCAAGGCTCCCGTGACACTGAGGCATTCCAACTTTCGAATACTGGTTAGTAGTCTAATCGTTGACTAGGGTCGCCTACAGTAGTGGTGATAAAACTCCTGCTTGTGGGCAACCCCTTTTCATTTTTGCCTGTATACTAGCCTCTTCTATAGTGGCTGATACCCTTTTTCTTTCTAGGCTAGCTTTCATCTAACGTTTGATACTTCTCGTCTTTCCAATGAACTTATGGGTGAACTTCGTGGATGCATCATTGAGAGCCCACTCGATGTACAGAAAGGTAGGTACTGCAATTTACTTATTTCATAGTGACTAAGATACTATCCTGTTAATATCGTCCAGTACTAGATCTGTAGATTTCCCAGCCTAGTACACATATTGACAAGCACTGAGAGGTTTTTCCTTGAGTGTTTCCTCTCTCATATATCGATCTGGCAGCCTTTCCATGGTTCTCATAAAAAAGGATTTTGAACTGATGGGTCTGTATGACTTGGCTGTCTGATCTAGTGCTTTACCTTTTTTGGGCAGGAAGATTAGGTACTTTCACCAGGAAATATATTCCATGCAAGTGGAATATAATTCCAGGCCACAATATAGTATATGACAAAGATAACATTTCATTCAGACAGAAAACTGTCATCCTCGATGGCGAACATCGATGTTTCGGAATAAGACAATTGTCTTATTGTTTCTTCACTACCTATCTGGATAACATTACAAGATGAAGCAGTCAATTCTTTCATAACATTACAACTTTATGTCACAGATGACTTAAATCTACTCATGTCACCATGACAGTACGTAATAACATTGATACGGTCATTTGTTATTTAATCCTAACCATAAGAATCTTGTTCAAATTGAAAGAGGTTTTGGCTTTCTATTTCTCCATCTTTATACAAAAAAATGTGGGAATCTTCGAAAGGAAGAAAAAATGCAATCGATTTTAAAGAAACTTCTATACAAAGATATGTAAATCAAGCAAAGAAGTAACTTTCGAACACAAACTGGATGAAAAAGCCCTCTCGAAACAACTACTTTCATACACACATTGAATTACAAATTTTTTCATCGTAGTTTGCAATCTTTCAAATATTTTTGAATTTTTAAAGATAGGTTAGGTTAGGTCCAAAGTGGGTGGACTGCAAGGGTTTATTGTGGCTCACACCTATTCACACTCGACCAAATGAACTCAACTTCTTAACAAAGCCGATTAGTTTGTATGGTGAGTGGTCTTTCAGGTCAGATGGTAAGAGTGCGGCTCTGCCGAACTTATTCGGTCCCCAGCGGGGCAGGCACAAAGTATGTGCTTTGCTGTTTCATCATTTTTCCAAACAGAGATGACACACACTGTCTTCCGACAGTCCGAGCCTCTGCATATGATGATTCAAATGACAGTGACCTGTAAGAAGGCTTTTAAGACATCGTAGTTCATCCCTACTGTAATGTAACAACTGTTTGGTATCAAGCTTCGAAGAGTGAATAAATGCTTTGTAGTGAGTCAATCCTGGAAGATTCTGCCAAAAGTCTATACATTTTCTTGTCATCCAGGTGTTCAACCTTCGTTTGGCAAAGCCTGAAGCGATGCCAATGACAGGTTCTGGTCCGATGAAGCTGCTTGCAGCACCCTCCTTTGCAAGGGAGTCAGCAGCATCATTGCCTTCCAGGCCAGAGTGGCCAGAAATCCAGACTAGAGACAATCTGTTGGGTCTTCCTATCGAGGAGATTCGTTTTTGGCAATTTGCTACCAATTTAAACGTTGCTGGGTAGGAGCCAAGAGCTTCCAATGCCGCTTGACTGTCCGAGAATATTTTTATTGACTTGTGTATGAGGTTTTCGCTTGAAATACAGTTGCATAGGTTACTAGGCAGGTTGATATCTCTGTCCTAGGTCTGCGACTGAAAACACTTGCACCAGAACCGGAAGGTGTTTTCGATCCATCTGTGAACCAACAACTATCTGCTCTTGATATTTCCTTCTCTCGGAGGATTCAGTCCTCTCTACTCGGCAACAGTACTTTATAAGGCAGTTCGTAGTTAACAGTTGGAGGTAATGTGCACTAATATCTTTCTACAGAAAAATGTGGAAAGGTGGTAGATCTAGAACGATATCCATGGCCGCTGACGTTGTGGTACTGATGGCACCACTGATAGCCAGACAAGCCTGTCTCAGTAAGCCAGAGAGCTTGGCCTGGGCCATTTTCTGTAAAGTCTTTGGCCACCAAGCAATTGCACCATACGTGATCATTGGTCTGACAGTCATCACATAAATCCAATGGATTTGTTTGGGTCCCAAACCCCAAGTTCTACCACAAATCCTTTGGCATGTCCATAGAGACAGTCTGGCTTTGTGTGAAACTTTTTCCAAATGAGCGTTCCAGGTGAGTTTTTTATCAAGGAAAATACCAAGATATTTCACCTCCGTTCCAAATGGAATGACCTCACCTTTGAGGGAAATTGGCGTTAGTTCGTCCAATTTTTTCCTCCTGGTGAAGGGGAGTATCACAGTTTTGCTGGGATTGACAAACATCTCCTTCCTCAGGCATCAACTGTGAACAACATTCATCGTGCTCTGGAAGATATAACAAGCTAATTATCCCGACGTGGACCTTGCCAAGATGACAAGGTCATTTGCATAAGCTTGCAGGTCTACTTTTCTTCTGTCGAGGGCATCAAGCAGACTATCCATCGGAGCCACCACAGAAGGGGAGATAGTACTCTACCTCGAGGGCAGCCTCTGGTGATCCTGAACCTGAAAGCCTCGCCTTGAAGTCGTAGTTGCATTTCTGTTCACCAGCATGGCATAGATCCAGCCAATTATGGTCGAATCTACACCTTTCCTAGCCAGAGACGATCGTATAGATTTAGGTAGTGCATTATCAAATGCTCATTTAGAAGTTGAACATTTTGTAAACTATTGTATTTAATATCCCTAGAAAGTACTGGGCACAAAAATATATAAAATAAAAATCAATCATTATGATATCAAAAAGTGACAAATTGGATGTTATTATCGACTACATGGCAAATGTAATCAATTGTTTGTTAGACATTCAACAATTATGTCTTTTTCTAGTAATGAAACCTTATCTTCTCATTATCATAACAGTTCTTGAATAATGTGTGGTGTGAGGTTTATTTGGAATTTGGAGGGGTCAAAAATGCTTACTCGTTGTCTATATCAGAACATTAATTTCGACATATTACCAATTTGAGAAAAAGTGATAAATACGTTGACGTAGAAGTATTTCGTTCAGTGACTCGCAAAAACGCTCCATTCTGCAATGAATTCTAAATCAAGTTGATAAGGATGCCAGCAGTGTTTAGTTTCCAATCGAATTGCAATACGCAAACTATTGTTCATAATCAAAACGCAATTGAGAAAGAGCAGTTATTTACATCAACGCATCGAGATAGAATCATAACACTGGAAGAACTGTCGTTGCATGACCATCCAAAAGACTGCTGGATCGCTATTAACGACAGGATCTACGATATCACGGATTTTCTTGATGAGGTTCGTCCTATTCACTAATTTTTATTGATTGTATTTGATATAATTATGATTGCTTCAATTCGTACTCAAGTTTTTGAACCATATATGATGGAATTGGCCGATACTAGAGGAAAATCCACAACTGACGTATTCAAAAAACACACTTTACTGTGAAATTTTCACTAAATAGTTTCACAAAAACACGTGTTTCGCCATACGATGACTTCTTCGGGGGTGTCTTTACTAACTATATTCTACATATTCAATGCTTGATATACCTAATTTTACAATTTGAAGTTTAAAAATCTGTTTTAAATCTGTTTAAAATCTGTTTTTCGTTAATCAGCTGTCGCCCCCATATGAACGACAACTCTCATAAGTTGAGAAACTTGTGCGAGCTAAGGACTAATGAGGTCTTACTTTTTAACGTGTGATTCCTAAAATTAAAATTAGGTATAAAGACTCGTCCGAAGAAGCCATTGTATAACGAAACACGTGTTGCGTTTTTGTAAAATCGTTCAGTGAAAATCTCACAATACAGTGTTTTTTGAACCATGTCTTCGAAAACCGCAGTACTTACTCAAATTATTAAAATTGTAAAACATGTTTTAATTGTAATGTAGTATTTGGTTTATATAACAGAAAAACATTTTTTTTGGTTTTCTACTTCCACGTCAATATACTTACAAAATGGAAGCACCCTTATAAAACGATCATCGATAGACTGACATTCGAGAATTCTACTAGAACAGTATTTAAATACTATATAGATATTCCACCAATTCCACTTTAAAACTTTTGTCAGTGGATTCAGCAAGTTTTGTTTTATCACTGCCCACAATTTCTTTGAAATTTGTTCACCAATTGAAAAGTTATAAGAAAACGACACCAAAGAGCATATTTTTCAAATTTTATTTGAAATACATTCAGCCAAATACTGGGTAACCTAGAGATGGCGTTAGTTGTTTGAAAAACCACTGTATTAGAAAGTACACAAGCTACAAAGCATATGTTTCAAGTTTGAAGACGCTGCGTTGTTCAGTATTTGTTTGGCAGCCATCAATAGGGAACATTTTCGGTGAATTTGTAAAAATGAAGAAACCCAACCAATATAAAAGCTGAAATGTATTCTACTATGGACGAGTCTGCTCCTTCATTTACAACAGTAAAAAATTAGGTAGCAGGGTTTGAACAAGGCCGTACGAGCTGCCAAAACGAGCATCGCAGTGATCGACTAAATGAGGTGACGACTCAAGAAACGGTAAAGAAAATCCACAAATCGGTACTGAATGATCGCCAACTGATAGTGCGCGAGCTGGTAGGCTCAGTAGGCATTTCAAAAAGGGCGGTACATCGTATATTATCTGTAAATTTGGACATGAAAAAGCTGTGTGTAAGATGGGTGCCGCGTTTGCTCACACTCGAGCAAAAACAACAGTGTCGTGAAGATGTTTCAATTGAGTGTTTAGCGAAGTTTTACAGCAACAAAGCAGAATTCTTGCGTCGTTTCATAACCATGGATGGAACACGGGTCCATCACTTTATACCCGAGACAGAAGAACAATCAAAACAGTGGACTCAATAGTGAGAACTGGCTCCGAATGAGGCAAAGATCGTTTCATCTGCAGCCAAGGTCGTGGCATTGGTTTTTTGGGATGCGCGTAGGATGATTTTATTGACTATCCTACAAAAGGTAAAAATATCAACGGCGAGTATTATGTGAATCTATAGTAGTAACGTTTAAGTGAAGCAATCGAGCAGAAACGGCTGCAGTTCGCTAAAAAAAAGTGTTGTTTCATCAAGATGTACATGTGATCCATTGTACATCCTCCCGAGGAGTTATCCATCTAGGTCATCGTCCATCCGGTCCTTTCCAGGATGGTAGACAGGTCACTGGGAGACATCTCCTTTATACCGGCAGATGCAGGCCAAGACTCGTCGAACACACACTCTCTTATTGACGATAATTCTGGACACTCTCATAGGACATGTCTGACAATTTCATCTTCCTGTTCACACATCCTGCATAGAGGTGATATCGCCAAATATTTCTTCGGCGCCAGCTTCCCAGGGTCGCTCAGGGTGATTTCATCCCATCTCTTTAGGGATTGAGCATGGGTGTAACGTTTGACTAGTTCCGCAATTGTCGAAGTCATCAGGCCGTAGGTGCCACTGGGTCCTGAAATTCTTAGTCCAGCCGCTTCCTTGGGTAAAGAGTCGGTAATGCGATTACCTTTACTCCTGTCGTGTCCTTTTACCCACCTCAGGATAATGTTATTATCTACCGAGGCTTTGGCTAAATCTTGGTGGCACTCTAGTACTAGCCCTGAGGTAACACGTTGTCTGTTCAAGGCTAATAGGGCTTGTCTGCTATCAGTGCAGATTAGATTTTGCCAGAAATTCCTTTCCTGCTTATTTTCTTTGCGGCGATTGGGATATCAGCCAGTTCTGTTCAAACCACGTTGGTATTCCTTAGGCTTAGTGATCTGGAGTAGGGACACTCCACATCCAGAGTTCAATTGCATCACTGGTTGCCTGCAGCAGAGGTTGCGCAGTAAGCGCTTCCCGCCATAGGCACAGCCTCAATTGACCCTTTCCTACTTTGAGGTTTACACCAGCCGTGCGCAATCGTAACATGACCATTAACGCAACCTCCTTAACGTACAGGTCAAGAGGGGTCAGACCAGTAATTAATTCCATTGCCACGGTAGGTGTTGTTCTCATGATTCCTGTGATGTTTATACAAGCCAATCGCTGCATTTGATATAATTTTTGGATGGACGTTGCTTGTAGAACTTTCGGTCCCCATGCAATGGCTCCGTACGTTAACATAGGTCTCATTATTGCAGTTGACCACACGGGGTGTGGTCGCGTTCCACTGATCTCCGACATTGCTCATAAGCCACATATGCTTTCATCAAGACAATGCACCATCTCACGAATTCATTATAGCAATGACCAAAATAAACGAATTAAAGTTTGCACCCTATTCGGCAGATTCAGCCCCCTTGGATTATTTTCTGCTCCCAAACTCAAAAAAATGGCTCAGTGATCAAAGAATATCCAACGATGAAGAAGTGATCTCAGCAGTTGATGGCTATTTCAAGGAGCACTTCTTTTCATAAAAACGGTATCGAATTTATTGAAGGTCGCTGGGAAAAGTGTATAGAGCTGCAAGGAGGTTATGTTGAAAAATTAATAAATTTTTTTCCAAAATCTTTGATGAGCCGGTTACTTCTGGGGCAACCCTCGAAATGTTAAAAGTAGATATTGAAATTATAGCGATATATTTTTAAAAGAGGTTGATTTTTTGGGGAAAAAAGGTTTTGGCTTTCTACTTCTCTATCTTGATACAAAACCACGTGGGAATCTTCCAAAGAAAGGAATGAAGCAATCAATTTCAGAAATTGTCCCATACAAAGATGTCTGAATCATTAAAATAATAAATACTTCAATTTCATATTCTCTAATTTCATTTATAGAAAAGGTCAATATGTTTATCAGAAACTGCTCATGTCGCATGAATTACGTAGAAATATAACTCATTAGGTAGTGTACATTAGAAGTATCACTGAAGATAATGTAAAAAATGTAATAATGATTTGTTAATTTGATAAACTGCGATCTTCGAACTCTACATTCATTATCTTGAGTATATTCTGAGATAATCTCATCACTGGTAGACCAATATTCTTGTGAAATAACCCAGCCACGGAAACCCTTCCAAACTTTTTATTTGAAGTGAAGCATATCCTGCTTTCGAATAGTTTTACTTGAAAAAATACATATTCCCGCGCCAAATATACAATGACCTTATTTAATCATCAATTTTTTTGCAAAAGTCTTTCCACAATTTTACAATCAGTTTACTTGAGTATCTATGCAAAGCATTCAACGAGAAAAATCATAACTGATCAGTGAGCTGTTGCCTTGAATTTTTGTACCTATCAATTTCTTGGCATTCAATAGACTTGTAGCTTTTTCTGAATGTTTAACTTCGCGAAACAGTTCCTGGTTCTAAATTATTAACAAAATAAAAATAAACATTATTGTGATTATTTAAAAAAAATGCAAATGACCCATCTTAAGAGCAAGGCTCTTAAGATAGGTCAAGCAGTTTCCCAAGACGACACTTAGGTTTCGCAATTTGCACAATTGAAATTAAGGTCATCCATTATTCCACAGGATTCGTGTGCCCATTCTGAACAATAGTGACATTCGTATCAGTCGTGTTCGCTCGTCGCATATTTTTCTCCGCAGACATGCAATTTGTGTCATCCGTGGTTGCTTTTTCCATTATGGTGTTGGTTGTCATTTTACAGGAACTAAACTTGTTCTCTGTTTTGGTATTTTCATTTTCGACACTGATTGCTCTCTTTACAGATTTGATACATTTTTTCGATTTTGCGTTTAGTAAGGCGTCCAATTCATTTTTATACGGTGATTCTGTGAGAATCGTAGATTTTATTGATTTTCTAGAGGAAGTCTTTTTTTGTTTGTCTTTTGCAATTGGCAAGGGACTTTATTATTAATGAGTTCCTCTAAAGAAAGATGATGAAACTATCGTTTCACCAACCAAGGTGGTATCTGCAGGCGATAAAGAAAACGGTTTTCTTTGCAAAAATAACAAATTTATGTAATTTTTCAGCATCCTGCGGGCGCTGAAATAATCCTGGAATATGCTGGTTGTGACGCGACAACAGCCTTCAAAGGGTCCGGACACAGCAGCCTAGCTTTAGGAGCTCTGGAAACATTTCTCATTGGACAACTGCCTACTGAACAGCGTATTTATAAAAATAGAGATTCAAGAGGCTCGACCAATTGTTAATAAACAGATAATGATGTTCGTGGTGGTTAAGGTCAAAGCTGCATTGATATTTTGCTTCACTGCATAGCTACAACGTTATTTTATTGACGTATTTCAAGATAAGGAATTATGCAACAGAATATCAATAATTACAATGCAAACTCGTTAGGTAAACGAACTATCGTATGCTTCTAATCTAGTAATGCATTATTTATTTCATCACCATAGCAGTTAATCTCGAGTTGAGAGGTGATGAGCTTTTTGACACAATTATTTGAAATACTATTCAGAATTGAAAAAACTTGACTTCTACAACAGCCTACCTCCAATTCTTTCATCCAAAAATGTTCATAACTTGAATGAAATAGTTAACATAAATCAAATTGCTACATTATTATTATTACCAGTATTAAACTTTCTTCTACCATTTCTACCTGATACTTTTCACTCAATAAATACTGTCTTATGTATCCCACTATATGTCATTTTGTATAATGAATACCTACTGTACCTAAAAAATAAGCAATAATAATAAGTATTCATTGACAAATAAATTGGGGAATCACAGAAATATGGCATATTGTTACATAGTATTAGGTTCTGTATCTGTAGAGTAGAGCTCTGTTAGGCCAGCAACGCAAAGTACGGAAATCGCATTTAGAAAATGCCAAAATTAGGTAATTTTTAGGTACCGAAGTCAAAAATTAGATGCTCTGAAACTTACACCGCAACTCAATACTCAAAGTTGCGTTGGTAGCATTATGTGATGCTAGCAACACAATGAAAAAAATAATCAAATAATGAATGTTAAGGGTGTTATTAGGTGCTAATTAAGTACTAAACGGTGAGGATCGTAAAATTTTCTAATTCATAAGCAAATGTTTCTAATTTCGCTAAACAACAGATCTAAGAATCAGGTCTCTCGAAAACGAGGACGAATGCTCTATCAGGTATAAACTAAGCGTGGAAATAAAGTGCTAACTAGGTGCTTGCAAGAAATTAAGATGAAAACGACCGCGATTTTAGAAAAAAAATTAACAATATGCAATAAAGTCTTGAGATACTCATAAACTCATAAATAGACAATCAAAATAAAGTGCTAATTAAGTGCTCACTAGATATTCACAGTAAAACTAGATTATTTAAAGCCTATGGAGCTCATGGACCTGAAAACCACCATGACTGATGTACTGAGTTCTTATAGTACGTTATTTAATTAATAAGGGCAAGAAATGAAATTGCTAATTAGGTGCTCACTAGATAAATAATAGTAAACCTAGATTCCATAATGCCTATCATTTATCTAGTAAGCACCTAATTAGCACTTTAATTTCTTGCCCTTATTTATTAAATAACGTACCTACTATAAAAACTCAGTACATCAGTCATGGTGGTTTTCAGGTCCATGAGCTCCATAGGCATTAAAGAATCTAGTTTTACTGTAAATATCTAGTGAGCACTTAATTAGCACTTCATTTTGATTGTCTATGTATTAGTCTACGGGTATCTCAAGACTTTATTGCATATTGTTAATTTTTTTCTCAAATCAGGTATCTCAAATTTTTGTTTCGCTTATTCGCGGTCGTTTTCGTCTTAATTTCTTACCTAATTAGTACTTTATTACTACGCTTAGTTTATACCTGATAGAGCATTTGTTCTCGTTTTCGAGAGACATGATTCTTAGATCTGTTGTTTAGCGAAATTAGAAGCTTTTGTTTATTAATTAGAAAATTTTACGATCCCCACCGTTTAGCACCTAATTAGCACTCGCATAGGACATGCCTGATAGTCTCATCTTCCTGTTTACACATCCTGCATAGATGTGTGTCCACTAGCCCTATAGTACGGAGGTGTTTCCTTAGTTGACAGTGGCCAGTCAAAAATCCTACTGTTGAGCGTAGATTTTTCCTGGTCATCCATTCCATCGCCAGATATTTCTTCGATTCCAGCTTCCCAGGGTCGCCCAAGGTGATCCTGGCAAAACCGCATCCTTTGCTTCTATCCTATCTCTTTAAGGATTGAGCACGGGTGTAACATTTGGCCGTAGGTGCCACTGGATCCCAAAATTCTTAGTCCAGCCGCTTCCTTGGCTAAAGAGTCGGCAATGCGATTATCTTTACTCCTATCGTGCCCTTCAATCCACCTCAGGATAATATCATTATCTACCGAGGCTTTGGCTACATCTTGGTGACACTCTGCTACTAGCCCTGAGTATAAACCTGGGTTTGATCCATTCCTATTTCGAGATTTACACCAGCCGCGCGCAATCGTACCATGGTCATTAACGCAACCTCCTTAACGTTTAGGTCCGGAGGGGTGAGCGTCAGACCCGTAATTAATTCCATTGCCGCGGTTGGTGTTATTCTCATGGCTCCTGTGATGTTTAAACAAGCCAGTCGCTGTATTTGATATAATTTTTGGATGGCCGTTGCTTGTAGAACTTTCGGTCCCCATGCAATGGCTCCGTACGTTAACATAGGTCTCAGTATTGCAGAGTAGATCCAGGTGACCACACAAGGTGAAAGAACCCATGCGCGTCCCACTGTCCTCCGACATTGCTCATAAGCCACATATGCTCTTTTTGCTCTACTCTGTAAGTGAGAGTTCAATGTTAGCTTCCTGTCGAGGATAGTACCAAGGTATTTCACCTCTTCAGAGAAGTTTTGTTTGCTTTTGAAGATTTCGGGAGGTCTTAGGCCCGATTACCTTCTTTTCCTGGTGAAAAGGACCATGAACCTTGGTTGACGTTCAACATCCGTCAGATGATATCTTTAAGGGACCGCGCATTTGAAAAATATAAGCAAACTAAAACCATTGTAGCATGGGATAGCTATAAAGAACTGAGGAACTATACGACATCTGCTATTCGTCGGGAGAAAAAAGCGTATCTTCAATTTGTTCTTTTGAAGAAAAATGCCAAGGCAACGTGGAGCACATTACGTAATTCAGACATCTTGCGTCAGAAGTCAAACCCTGAACTACCACCTTACCTGAAAAATCTAGATGAAATCAATCAGTTCTTTTGCAATATTACTCTCCCTGACAAAACACAATTTCAATCATCGCTTTTTAAAAAGTACCAAACGAAGAACACTGCAGATTCTTTCAGGTTCTCTCCCGTTGACTAACATACTGTACAGAAGTTTTTAAATAAAATCAGAAGCAACGCTGTAGGTTCGGACAGTATCTCACTTCGAATGATTCGTTTGGTGGAAACACATCTCTTGGAATACATCACCGTTATACTGAATTCGTGTATTACTTCCTCGTGTTTTCCTTCCCTTTGGAAACATGCACTTGTGATTCCCTTGGCCGAGTGTAACTCTCCGACACATTACTCTGATCTTAGGCCCATTAGTATTTTACCTTCTCTATCTAAAACGCTTGAACTGATTCTCAAAGAGCAGTTAATTGAATTCATTACTTCGTACAAAATCATAACTAGCGTTCAGTCTGGGTTTCGTTCTCAAAGTACGACTTCCGCACTCCTCTCCATAACGGATGATATTTTCAAAGCAACCGATAAAAATTATGTAACATGTCTAGTTTTATTAGACTTTAGTAAAGCTTTTGATACCTTAGACCGCAGTCTTTTATGCAATAAACTAAATCACTTTGGTTTGGATAAATGTGCCGTAGATCTCATTGAAAGCTTTTTGGAACACCAAACTCAGTGTATCAGCCTTGTTCACTTAAAATCTGTAGTTCTGAACACCAAATTTGGAGTTCCACAAGGTTCCATTCTTGGACCTCTCTTATTTAGTATCTATATCTCAGATTTTTACAAATGTATTAAATTTTGCAATATTCATGACTACGCTGATGACACTCAAATTTACTTTTTTTCCGGAAGGCAACCTGAAAGCACAAGAACTGACAAATAGAGATCAATTCACTATATAACGTCTCGTGCGCACATAACTTGAAATTGAATGCTAAAAAATCATCATATATGTTATTTGGACCCAAATCTAAAAGTAGCCTGATTTCCAACCTCATCAAGATCCACATAAATGATGTTGCCTTGCTTTTCACTTCTGAATGCAAAAACTTGGGTTTGTGGATTGACTCCGATTTGAGATTTTCTAAACATATCATCTTTGTAAAACATCTTATAACATTCTCAGACAAATTTTTCCCAATAGAGATATTTTTTCTACACAATTCAAACTTAAGCTTTGCGAAACTTTATTTTTTTCTAAAATTATCATATTGCGATTGCAATCCCAGTCTTCTTGGGATTGATTTACAGTGAGTGTTTCTTACACCATGTTTCTATTAATTTGAGCCCATCCTACGCTCTATCGCACAGTGTGTTCACAAATTTGCCGGTCTGCAAGATACATATGTCATCTGCGTATGCAATTGTGTAGAATCCATTTTTGTTGAGGTGATTAATCAGGGTATCCAGAACTATGTTCCAGAAAAGGGGTGATAAGACCCCTCCCTGTGGACATCCCCTCATGACCAGTCCTTTCACTGTGATGTCTTCTACATTAATACTTATTGCTCTACTAGAGAGCATCTTGAGTATCCAGTGTAGTTGCAGGGTAATTGTTGGAAAGATTGTTTTTATTGTATATTCACAAAACAAAAGGTCCAATTTAACTATAATTATTTATTAGCAAAACTCAGAACATCACAATACAGAATCTGGCTCACGCCATTACCCAACCTATTATTCCCAATCCCCCCAACCACAGAACCTCAATTGCTAGTACCCCTCTAGGCACTATCATTTGTCAGGATCCTGTTAAGGTACATTCACAACGTAGCATATATTACAGTTTTATCAAAAAGCTCTCTCAATATCTATGAATATACCCATGGTGAATACTTTGTTGTCCAATGATCTCTCGATTCTGCCAACCACATGGTGAAGGTCCGAATCAGTAGACTTTCCCGGAGTATATGCATGCTGGTTTGGATGAAGTGTAATTGGTCAGAATGCTTTTAGTAGGGTGTAGTCCATCCTACCTGGTTTGGATGTATATATACCACTCTTACTTCCCTCCACTTACTGAGAATATACCTCAGAGCTAGAGAGGCTCTGAATATTCCAACCAGGTGCGGCATAAGAATGTCCAGTCCCCATTGAAGTAGGGCTGGTCTTATACCGTCAGGTCGTGGTGACTTGAAGGGAGAAAAGCCCATCATCTTGTCCTCATCAATTACTGCCCTAGCAGATTGCCAGTTGTATTGTGAGGGTGTTGTTGGTACATCCGTCCAGTTCGTCGTTCCAGGAAAGACAGAACCTGGGACGTTAGTTTCCATAAGAATCTCAGCACTCTCCTAGAGGTTGGCGGCTTTGTCGCCATTTTCCATCGTCAGGATGCCGATACTCTTATGGTGTAGCATAGAAGCTAGTGGGAAGTCTTTGACTGCCTCATAGTAGACTCTCCAGGCTTCTCTTGTTGTTAACTGCAGACTTTTTTGAACTCTCCGAGGTTATTTTAAAAGATTTGTCCGTTTGAATGTCACGTGTTTTAATAGCTCCATATCACAATGAATATTTATTCTACTGTGTCGTGGTATATACTGATCGATAGAGAATTTTGTACTCGATACATTGATGCTGTTCATTTTTTTAGAAATTTAGATTTTTTGCATCTACTCAGCTTATTACTATATGATGTCATGCGAATTTTGGACAATTTTTCTTTACGAATTCAAATTGAACCAAAGAGCTTCCAAAACAGCCCCAAAAATTACCCAAGCATTTAGCATTGATAGTGTTCGACGTTGGTTTGTGAAATTTCGTTCAAGATATTTTAGCCTCGATGATGAGTCCCGAAGTGATCGACCTATAGTTATCTATCGCACGAGATAGCGATTTTTGATAGTTCAAGATGTATTGGGAAGTTAAAAAAAATTCGAAAAATAGGTGCCCCGATTCAAGGTCTGTCCTTTTTTGCTATTGCGCCACCAAAACCATCCTTTTTGGAATCGTATCGTCACGTGTGATGAACAGTGGATCCTCTACGATAACAGGAGACGTCCATTACAGTTTTTGCATGTTTTGTACCAATACAGTGATTCATGACTTAACATATCCGAATCAATTGTCTTTTTACCATTCACGAAATCCCAATGGTGCGGACCCATAACCCTCATTTCACAATAATACTACATAACCCTCATTTCACAATAATTTATTAACAACACATATATACATTTCATTCAGCATAATTTATATATTTTCCTAATAACAAAAACAAAATTAATTATTGAGAAATGGTTTTCAATGATGATTTGGTTGGTTTCTGGGTTTTGACGTGGTCTTATTTGGTAAATCAAGGATAGATTTCGATCTCTTTACTTTCAGCTAAAACTAGCATATGCCGTACTGGGAGGCAATAGTATTTAGTAATATTCAAAATACTGACCACTAGAGTTATAACAGAAATTGAAAATAATGAATCAACGAAACAATAAGAATCGCACACCATATAGAAGCTATTTCTCCAAATTTATTCTTATTCATCCCCCCTAACACAATCTTCATTACAAACTTGTGAGAATTACAAAATATACAAATTCTTAGGTTGACTCAATATTTGAATTTCATTATTTTGGACTTCCATTGTCTAATGTGATTAATATTTATTTGAAATTACAATAAAATAAAATACAAGTAACAATTGAGAATTGAACAATAAAAAAGAAATCAAAATTAACAGATTTCAAGCCAAGATTGTGAAGTAACCTTTAATGTTCAATTCTCAATTGTTGTTTTCAAGTACTCCGCCTTCATTCATAAACTAAAAAAAGAATTGAGGCTTTGAATGAGCCACAAAAAATTAAAAAAAACGGTATGTATCCACATTTCGCCATCGATATAATGTCTGAAAAGAAACCAGTTTTGCCCCTGATTGAATCATAATTAGTTCACCAAAATGTTGAACGACGTCAGAGATATTTATTGGAAATATTTATACGCCTACTTCTGCACATTAGTGAGTATACCAACCAGAAAATAAAAACTGTTATTCCAAAAACGTAAAGGATGATGACTGAAGATTCTTTTGGTAGCTCGCATTTTGTATACGCATAGTTGTTGGGAGTAAAAACTGCCTGCAATCAAAATAATTATTCTCTTTCAGGTATATTTTTTAATATGGAGCATATAAGGAATACATTTTCATTAACTTAGGATGACTATCTATGATATTGACACAAAAAAAACAACCTGAAAAAAAAAATGCAGGAACTATATGACAGTGTAACTGTATCTCGGTTATTTCTTGGTATAAAAATGTCGTTCTTGTTGGAAAATACTTAGGACAATGGCGGGAACTTGCGAACGATAAAACCTCCTGGATAATTTCTGGCAATCCCGACCGTTATCTATATCACCCGAGAATACCTACCACAGAGAAGCGACATTAAAGTCGGATCCTTTGATGTTCGGTGTCCCAACTCCGAACCGAAGATTTTGAGTGATAGACAACCTGGTTCACTGAGAAAAATGACCTCTCAGCGATATACACTAATAAAAATACATACTCTTACGTTCTAGTATAGTACGTGGGCTCACTGTGAAATATAAAATTATAGTGTGAAGGGCATCTTACGTCATTCAATTTTTATATTGCTAATTGAACAACTTTAGCAGTAATAATAGCTTATTTCAAACCTCTGCCGTGTTGTTTCTGTACTCACTTCGTTGCACACCCCTCCGTGTCTGTAATAATTTAATAGTACGGTTGAATTGGTTCAAATAAAGAGCTGAAACCGATTTGTTTGTTTATTTTCTTAGGATAGTGAAATATATTTGCAGATGGTAAACAGGTTGACCAGCAAAGTCAAGTAAAATCTTATTTTCTGACTACCGAATTTGTCTAGTTCACGCAGACCTCTGAATTGCCGCTTCTTCACTCTAGCTGTCCGGTGTAGTGGTGCCTGGTTCCGCTTAAAATTCACAAGGCTAGCGCCCGAGATCTCGTCCGCAACTAAGTTGATGCAACGCTAAGTTGACGCAACTAAGAGCGTTACAATATATTAAAAAAAATAGTGGATTTCTGTACAAAACTAGAAGTAGCTACTGAGTACTTACCAACAAATAATTCGGGTTGTCTTTATTTCTCCAGCTGAAACTAGGAATGGTAATTTCTAACCCGTCTCCAACAGGAAGTGGCCTAGTACAACCATGGTGAGTATGACCAGATAAAGCCAGTCGTGGTTTCACCTGCTTAAGAAGCTGTAAAGTAGCTTCTTGGCTGAGGCATTCCCACCGTTCCCGAAATATTTCTTGCTTTATAGGAAATGGCGCAGAATCAAAATCATTACATTCCATATCTGACTGCCGATACAGTGGATAGTGCTGAAATTTTTTCATCATCATTTTTCATCATCAACCAAATTATTATAATGAACTTATACAGTGCATTTTTTAAATGTGCCCCCCTTTTAATTTTTTTAACGGATCAACTCAAAAAATTGAAATTTGGGATAATGAAATTAATGCATGAATTCTTTATTTTGAAGTGAAATTGACAGAAGAAACTTTCAAGATGGCGACTGGGGGCCATCTGAAAAAAAATTATATGGAAAGGGGGTCTTGTGACATATTTGAAGCACCTGACAAATGCTTCACAACCCTAGAACATAATGTCAATATCTTCAACTAAAATGGCGGAACTTTTAACAATTTCATGAATACATTGACATTTAACTACATAACATGAGGTAATAAGCTTGAGATCAGTTCAGAAAAGGCTCGAAATGATTGCCTTGAACTTCTTGACATATAAACAGCCTATTCGATATTTCACTTCAAACATTTTCGAACACAGTAACGTCAATATCTCCACAAATATTCTATGCCGTATATTCAATATTGAAGCAGGTTCGGTTTCGTACACTTTTTGCTTCAAATAGCCCCATAAAAAGTCCAAAGGTGTCAAATCTGGCGGGCGGGCTGGCCATTCTGTAGGACCTAGAGGGCCACTTCAACGACCGGGAAAAGTAGTATCCAAATATGTTCTTACTTGTCTGGAGTAATGTGGTGGTGCTCCATCTTTTTGGGGTACAATATCCATATCGAATTCATTAGAATTCGCTTCGACGATTTCAGTGATGAGAGGGTCAACAGTAGTTTCCAGCATATTCAAATACAGTTCCCCTGTTGAATTTTGTTCAATAAATAGAGGTTCTACAATATGGCTTCCCAATATTCCTGGCCAAACGGCCATTTTTTCTGGATATTGGGTATGTGTTTCCCAGAAAACGTGAAAGTTGGTGTCACTCCAATAACGGAAATTTTGTCTGAGCATTGCCATTCAAAAAAAAATGTACATTCGTCACTCCTCCGAAGAGGAGGTAGGTCTAGAAGGATTTCGATGGCCCCTGATTTTGTGGTGCTGATGGCACCAGAGATGGCCAGGCAAGCCTGTCTCTGTAGTCCAAAGAGCTTCACCTGAACCACCAGGCGATTGCTCCATTTGTGATCATCATATATTATATAATGTATTTGTTTGGGGTATAATCAACAAGATTTTCCACAAATCCTTCGACATATCCTGGTCTGGGTTTGTGTAAACCTTTTTCGAAATGAGCATTCCAAGTGAGTTTTTTACCAAGGATAACTTGTTTTATCTTAACTGATTCCTAAAGTCAATCTCAAATGTTTTTTATAAATGTGTGATGTACTTTGTAATGAGTACCTTACACAAAGTTAGGATTCATTTTTTTACTTATGTGTTATCTGTACAGTGGTAGTTCTAGAAGTACTCGGCCTGACCTAGAGGTGGCGGTAGTTGTTTGAGAAATATCACTGTATTAGAAAGTACACAATCTATAAAACATATGTTTCAAGTTTGAAGACGCTGTGTTGTTTAGTATTCGGCAGCCATCAATAGTAAATTTTCTTCAGAAGTAAAAACGTAAACAATTTTAGTTTCAAGTAGGAGGAGAAGAATATTTGTTTTTCACACTCCCAGGGTTGAAATGTTTTCAAAAATTACCCTCATAAAACTGAACTAAATTATTTATTTTTATTGAAACTTTGAATATTATTTATCTGTATATTTCAAACTTTATACGATAGAACCATTCCATAGAAAGAACTCAAGTGTTCTTACATTCAGTTAACATGAAGAACACTAAATAACCGGGAATCTTTTTTAAGCAAATTTTCAAAAAGGTACTTACTTGCATCAAAATTGGCCTGCTATATATGTCTAACTTCATTTTTGGACCACATTTTTCTGTATAAGTGCCTTTGGTACACTGAAGAATTTCTAAAAAAGAATATCTATACTAATAGTAATTGAAACTTGTGTACATTTGTGAAAATGCTAGGAGCATTATCAAGAAATTATTGTACTGATGAAAAACGATAAATGATGATTAAATTCCCAATATCCCAGTACTCAAATACGATGATCGACCACTTCTGCTATAAATCTCGAACATGCCTGTGTATCTTGTTTAATCATGCCCTCCAATTTATCTAACCAAGAGGCAGTATTTAGTAAAATGAAACTCAAATTGCACAAATCAAGAAAAAAATCAAAAAATATAAGTTTACTAATAGTTTATTTTTTGACTGTTACTTCAATAATTATAGGAAAGTCTATAGAAAAGTAATTAGGGCAACAAAAACTTTGTACTATAGTAACAGAACCACGGAGGCTAAAGAAAGCTGGTCAATAATCAACGAACTTAGAGGAAAAAATATCTATACAAACACAACAGATACATCCTTGAATCTGGACATCTTTTAACTAGCTATTTCTGCTCTGCCGCAACAAAACTCAGTCAAAACATTGTAGCTACTCACGATACCCTAGAATATCTCAGTGATATCTTTGTAGGCAGTACCTTTTCATTGCACCAATCAGTATAAATGAATGAAGAAAGCATCTGGCTTTGATGAAATTTCTATTGAAATTCTCGAAAGTCTTCCTGAAACTGCGCTCAATATACTTGTTGAACTGATTAACAGCTCTGTCGAGCAAGGAATGTTTCCTTCGATTCTCAAAACCTCGGTTGTCATCCCTCTCCATAAAGGCGGCAACAATGAAGGTCCAGCAAACTTTAGGCCTATATCGCTCAACCCAACCTTAGCAAAAATAATTGAAAAACTGGTAAAAAAATAATGGAATTTTTGACCAGTAATGGGATATTAAGTACACATCAGTATGGCTTTCAGAATCTTAAGAGTAAAGCTATATCAACAGTATTGCAATTGGTGTATAATGAAATCAATAGCGGGGAAGCCACTGCAGCAGTGCTTTGTGACTTATCCGAAGCTTTTGAGTGTGTCAATCACAGCATATTGCTACAGAGGCATATGCAATCAGTCAGAGTTGCCCAAAATGCTGGACTGTCTAATCACTAGAAAACTTTCATTCGATTTCAGAAACATCATAATCAATCAACAACATGGTTTTACCAAAGGGAAATCAACTTCTACGAACTTATTACTTTATGAAAACTACATCATAAATAATCTTGAAAATAGGCTACAAGTGGACTCTATATACACAGATTTTTCTAAAGCCTTTGATAGAGTCAACCATAACCTACTGATTGCTAAGTTGAATGCCTTGGGTTTAGAGGGAGNGTAAAAATCACTGCAAATATTTAAAAATTGTACACTGGCTGAAGAACTTCGGTCGATGGCCCTTTGGTATTCACCAAATAAATGACATTTATTATTATTATTTAAAATATACATAAAACATATTAAAAGTGAATTGATGGATGTAACTGTTTCTACATGGTAGGAAATCATCATGAAAAATGAGAATTGAAACTTTCTGTGTTTTGTACCCCTTCTATTTGTAACTAACGCTACTGTAGTTTCGTCCTATATGGACATTCTCAAACTCATACATTAGAAAGTTTCAATTCCCATTTTTCATATTGAAAATGTGAAAAATTGTCTATAGCTCGTTATAGCAGTTAGTGAATAAAAGAAGTGGTGGAGCAAAAAAAATCTTCAAGTCATATTTGAAAGTTTTTAAATTTTTTGCTAACTTTCACATTTAGGAAGCAGATTACAAAAGTAGCCTCCAGCATGAAGGAGAAATTTTGTGTACCATATTTTGTTGAACTAATTTAGGTGTATGTTGTTTTTATATCTAGTGTTATGCTCGCTATTTTTCGTAAATTAATCTATATTATTGAATGTATAAATTAATAACCTATATAGATAAACACATGGGAAAGTTAGAATATTATAATATTATTCTGTGTTCGAAGGTATTTCAACAAGATATTTTACAGTCCATGCCAAAACTGAGTCTTTTAAATCGTTTTTGTAAAATGAACACTCGTGATACTTCAGTTGACCTACCCCATGTAACTATATTACAGCTAATTACGGTGAAAGTTCGATTTGAGCCTGATACAGTTTATTAAGTTTTTTACATAAGTTATCAATTTGGTTGTTGAGGGTTAATTTGTAGTTCAGCTACATAGCAAGGAATTTTGTGCTTTCCGATGCTAAGATATCAGTGTGGCCTAATTTGAACTTGATAACTAAAAATCATATGGATTCAATACTAGTAGCGTCATCTGTGTGTTAGTCTACAAAGTTTTCAGCCCACCTAATATCTAATGGAGGAGTGAGAAGACAAAAAATCTCTGAAAAATAAATGTATCCAAAAAATCAATTCTTCATACAAAATAAATATTAAAATCTAAGCAGTAGTTCAAAGTGATGCTCCTTTTGGTTCTACAAAGTTTACTGAAACATCTCTTGAAGTATAAGTTCCTACTATAAAATTGTCATCTGAAAAAATCAGAAAATTGAAAAATATTTTCCCTCTGTTCAATACCGTGCATCTAGTGCTCCATTATACTTTTGTTCAGTACTCATTCTTTCGTAAAATAATATTCAACATTTTTGTTCACATTGCTTTTTATACATAAACTTACTTTCGATTTTAGTTAACTGTTGTTCTGCAGGTTTACACAGAAAACAGCCATCTCCTTCCAAAGCCATGCTATTCACTAAAACAAAGTGATTTCCTCGTACTGTAATGAGCTGGACAGCTGGAGAATTGAAAGCAGATACGAATCTCTGATTGAGATAAGGACTAACACTGAAAAAAAAATGATATTTTTGAAAAATTTTAGAAATGTTTTTCTCATTTTAAAAAGAATGGCCTCCAATGGGTAAAATGTAAAAAAAAACGAAACAAAGTATTTTATTGTGGTTTGAGTATATGTATCACTTCCTTCGAAAGTCTCTTGGATAGATATGGTTGAACATTTAGAATGGTCGGATGTTGAAAGTCAAAAAAATGTGTCCATGTTCTGGACTGTGGGGTTTCGATATTCAGTTTCATGTGTTCTGAAACTCACGTTTCGAAATATCGTCTGGTTTGACATTGTAATAATTTCTGATTCAATTTTATAACTATTAGCAGAACCAATAATGAAGTCCTTTGTTAAAGAATCATTCAATTTCATACATAGTTATGTTGATTCACCCAATACATTGTAGTGTAATTTGCTATAGTTATTTGCTCTTACCCGTAGTGGAACCCAATGTCATGATTCCCAACAGCGACATACAACTTAGTACTTTCCGGAACTGAAAATATGTTATAAAATCTTTGGACATAATTTTCGAATTCAGTACTACTACAGTACAATCCTTCATCTGTAAGATCTCCAAGAACAAATACTAAATCAGGTGAATGCAATGTCATGGCTGTCTGGAATGCTCTGTACATTTGCCACTCCCTTCGCAGCTTATCAAACCAATGACCCTTTCTAGAGCCGAGCAAATGTGTATCGGATATAACCATAACTTTGACTGGATTCTCATATGATCCTTCAATTGACTTATCTTCATTATCTTTGCTTAACTCTGGCCAGGAACACTGAAATTTGAATAAATTATTGTGGTTATGGTCTGCGTATCAAGTTGGATAAACGAAAATTTAAAAAAAATACTCACACTGAACTGAACTATATAAAAAACTAAGAATTCGCAGTAGAAAAATAAAAATAATACACCAATACTTGTTTTTATTATTAATCTTAGGTTAGGTCGCATTATTTTTGTTTTTCCACTAGTTAATTCGTTCCTTTAAAAATATTAACGTCAAGAGTTTCAAGTGACAAGTGACATTAATCTGTTCGTTTGTAATGATACATTTATGAATAATTTGAGAAATATTCAAGTATGATGATTCAATCTTTCCATTTTCTATCCCATAAAAATGATACGAAAAACAATGAACAAGCCATCATTTTCTCAGGTTTCAATAAACAATTCAGCATTTAACCTAAATCTGAGTTTCTTTCAATGATAGATAAGTGCAAGCAGGATTGATGAAAGAGGAGCCCCCTTGGTGAAAGATGAGTCCACGCAAACTTTTTTTATCAAAGACTTCGAAACTGAGGCTACTGACACGTTCGACCACAAACTCTCTTGCTGGTTCAGATACGTAGATGACGTTTTCGTCATATGGTCCACGGCTCCGAAACTCTCCATAATTTTCTTGGTTATCTCAACGACCTCCACCCAAATATAAAATTCACAATGGAAATTGAAACCAATAACTCCCTTCCATTCCCAGATGTCGTCATCACAAAATCTAATAACTCCTTCACCCACACGGTCTATAGGAAACCTCAACACACACAAACTCCTACCATCATCTACCATAAACCAACTATGTCTTTAATTCTCTCCTTCACAGATCTATCGGTCTCACAGACCGCCACAATCAACCACAAGACCTGGCTCAACTCATATCAGCTCTTCTTCAAAATGGATTCACCCACCATCAAACTGACAGATCCATCCGTCGTCAAAAAAATTCTCCGTCCAGTCCCAGAAATCTAAAAGACAACAACGTTCCCCGCAAAGCTTTCCTTTCCTACATTAAAGGTGTTACTGACAAAATTGGTCGAATTCTCAAAAAACATTACATAAAAATGATATTCACCGCCAACAATCAAATTTCTATATTTCTTTGTTCCCCAAAGGACATATTGTCGATGAATCCCAGGCTTCATATAAAATTCCATGCTCCGATGGATATAGAACATATGTAGGTCATACCAACAGACGTGTGACAAGAAGAATATTTGAACATCAACTTGCTGTCCGAAGGAGACAGGACGCAATATATACTCTGTTAACAGTAAGACTATCGCCATAGCGAAAACACTTCAAGCTTGCATAATTCGCGATTCCATCGAAAAGCGACCTTTCTGCTTGAACAAACGTGATGACGCGACTGGTATTAGTGGTACCGAAACAAAGACTAGTAAGTTTTCATAATAGAGTGTATGTCACTTCGAGCTTTTATTGGAAGTTTGAGATAAAGTTATCAAAAATGTTTTATTCCAAGTTTCAGATATTATTGGAATTTGCTTTTTTGATGTATTATTCAATGTCCAGTAGAAGTGCGGTGTAAGTATCAAAATTAGGTTTGTTTTAAATGAAATGAAATATCTTGTTTTCCATTTCCGTTGAGAAAGTAATATGGGTATGTATATCTAGGAGTTATAAAGCTATGCCAGAAATACCTTCAAAAGATCGAATATTCATCAACTTCCCACTTTTTCAATGAAAAGTCAAGTTGATAATATTTTTCGTTTCGGAGATGTTCTGGAATTGTAGACTTGTAGGCTTTTATTGTTGAATAATAATTTTATCACAATCTTTTTTGAACCTAAAATCAACAGTTTTTTCTCGATTTTTTCGAATAAAACACTCAAAATTTCACTTAAGATGTGATTGCTTCTTGTAAAGCTTTTTTTGAAAATAAGGAGTTGTTTAGGGAAATAACTAGAATTTTAAGGTCATGACAGAAATAGTTTCGAAAAATATATAATTGTCAACATTAAACTCTCTCAGCAAGATGATAAATGAGTGAATATGGTGAATTTTTATTAAACATCAGTAAATTCAGTAAATCTCTTGATAAAACTTTTTTTATTTTGGATGTGATGGTTGGCACATGAGATTCAAGGGGTTGTACTACCTGACCATGAGGTTGCATGAGACTTTGCCGAAACCAAGTGTTGCCTAACCTTGTACTTGGTTATACCGTACTAATGACAGCTAATACGCTAGAAACACGTGTCTGCCGTTTGCATTTTTCGAAAAGTTATAATTAGGATTTAAAAAATGAACAGTTTTTTCGAGTATTCATTTTATTTGCGTATGAATAATGGAAAAACAATTTTATATTCTTGTGATTGTGGCATTATTTTTTTTCTCATAATTCAAAAAAAATATTGAATATTGAAACTATATTCTTCCAACCAGTAGAATGAATTATAATTTGGATACAATGAAGATATATTTTTATGTTATATATTTACATTTCATTTCCATTTGTTTCTATATAACACAGCAGTATTCCACCGTCTGGTAGTAGTCATCAATAAACAATAATCGAAATGGTAAAATCGATGAATAATTCATTCGCGATGTAGAGAGAGAAAATGTTATGTAAATATTGGCATATCTTTCAAATTAATTATAATAACACGAATATATATGTTTATTTACAGCTCAAATTTTCATTTTTTTTTATAATGAGCATATTATAACATTCAAAGGACAAAGGTTCAATATTGGCACCTAGCAAACCTTTCATTATTTTCTGATGAACCTAATCGCCTCAGAAGTTAATTCAACATGAGTTGGTTCTAATGATTCTGAATCGAATTTTCAGGTGATCGTTCAAGAAATTACATTCAAAAGTTTCTACACGCATTTCCATCGATACTCAAGAAGTCGTATTTTCATCGTTTGGTATTAAATCAAAAAGTAACTAATACCATCATTTTCTTCGAGTTTTCTGATCATAGTTCTAAACCTACTTTTAACAGAGTTAATGTTGGGAAAAAACTCCAGTAATATTCATTACTACACCAAAGGTTCCAAACAGTGCATTACAAGTAGTATCCAAAATATTGACCATCAGCGAGTCTTTAAAAAAATAATCAACTTGAATTTCGATGGAGAAAGGTGAAAAATAACAAAAAAACAATTAGACGACAACACAAAATTCTATAAGGAAAGGTTTGACCAATCAAATATTATTTAGAATTTCTGTCTTTTTGTTGATTTGTTTATATCAAAGATTGTATTAACTGGATTATTCATGATCAATACTTTGATACAATGTCATCTGAAGCAACAACAATCTTGAATGATGAAAATACATAACTTAAGATTTTCCTGTACGAATCACCAAGCCGTATTTGAAACAACTGTGCTGTTATGAAAAATTAATTAAAAATACCCTTGCCCTTTGTTCATAATAACTGTTTCTCCTCTGCAGAGCAATTCAATTCATATAGCAGTCCTAACGTGAAAGTGAAAGCAAAAATTGACAACATATTCTAAAACGTACCTATTTGCAAATCAGTACTTTCTAGATCAAGAAAAACATTGCTGTAACTTACCGATCCTTATTAGTTAACAATTTTTTTTAACAAGAGATTGATAACAATGGCAAAAACAGGTGAAATTATATCATTAATTTGGTTGGTGAAAAAAATATTTGAAATATTTTGTACAAATTTATATTTCCTGTCTATTATTTATTATTTTGGATGAACAAAAAATATCCTTTTATCAATCCTGCAGCATTAACCCCCCATTTGTTCATTAGATAATTTATAAATATAATACATCAAGTTCGAATAAATATAAAAGTGAAAGACGTTTTCGAGGGAACTGGCAGTCCCCTACACCAGTAACCAGGCTGGATGTCAATGGATTCGACGACCTTGTCAATTCTATAATAGATATGCACATGTGTATTTGTGTTATTTTTATCTGAAGGCCTCCCGAGAAGAAAGCAACCAGTGAAAGATGGAGTGAATGAAAAAATCAGGGTGGCAGCATTGTTTCGTGCAAGACTACAGCGCCCCTGGTAGAAGTTTCCGTTCACTATGGACAGGAGGAACCCGGCCAAATGCGCTTGAATAAGAAGAAACGGACATAGAAATCAGAAAGAAAATTGACACATGAATTTTTTTTTTGGTTGATTTTTTCTGTTATTTGAAAGACGTTAATGACGCACCAAGAGGTGGTGGAGATAAGGGAGAATAATCAATATATAATGATTAGGAATTTAAAAATAATTGAGGATATTCCATTTCCGCTCACTAAAATATATTCATATATTTTTTTCACCTTTCCAATGTGGACTTGACGTTGCAAATTTGAATACATTTCATTACATATTTACAGAGCACCTATTTACTATTTACATTGAAGTTTCAACCCAAATAAGCAACAACAATTTGAGTTTCATTTTTATATTCATTTAACAACTGAAATAGTTTTCACAAGTTATAATTTTTTCCGTATTTCGTAATAGATAAGCTCTAGTTTCTTGCTAAACTACGTTTTCTAAAAATAATTCATCAGGCGTACTTACAATCTAAAAATAACGATATTTACAAGAAGCACATAAATCAACAGTGCTTTGCAAAATGCAGTGAAGGCAAACATTGAAAACTTTTAGTTTTGTCAACTCTCCGATTTTCCAATCTTAGATTTTATAATAACAGCCAATATAACAGATCAGATGAAACAATCGAAAAAACTTCGTTTATGAAACTTTCTCCTCTGTGAGGATTTTTTTATAACTTACTCATCGTGATAATGAGATATCTACCTATTTTAGCATTATGAAGCGGTTTCGACTGTCCCGAAATGCGTGTAAAATGTCACGGGTGAGGTATATATAATAATCAGTCAGTTACTTGAACATAATTATATTATTCAAAAGCAGATGGTTCGAAAATCTACTTTGGAAAAGTAACTTGTAACTTACCAAAATACACCTTGAGAATGAATAAAAATCTATAAATATTAATAGAAAGAAGCTTCGAATACGTAAAAACTTTCCATCCAAACAAAAATTATTTGTAAAAAATTCTGTCATGTAGGTACATAAAAAACATTTGTATATACAGGGTGTATCTTGAATTATGTCATTAATTTCAGTTGGTGGCTACTTGTCATAGTTCATGAAAAAAGTTCATATAAACATGTCTTCTAGCTTGCTTCGTTTCTGAAAAACGAGGTGTCAAATACTAAAAATATCGTTCTTTTATTAATA